TCAGAAATGTGCGGGCTACAATCATGCCTCATTAAGAAAGGTTCGGGTTAATTTTTTGGGGTTTCTGAAAAACTGGTTTTCTACAAAACCAGGTCTTCGAAGGCCTAGCAGCAAAAACCATTGTCATATTCGGAATCAGCATAGTCGATAACCTATTCTTCACTAGATTTCAACAAAAAAGCGAGCGGACACTTGGGGCAATTCCCTCGTAAGTCTGAGTAAGTAGCATCAGCTTCCGTCGAGTTCGTCCTCAATTAATTCTATCTGTGAATCATCCGACTGAACACGCGATGACCAACGATACTTGCACAACACCCAGATACTTCTTCTTCTCTGCTACTCACATATGCTTTTCAAAACAACACCAAGAGATCTTCATCGACCGTTATTTCCACCTGTCTATATAGCCACATTATGAAATTTTGAAGTGGTTTGTGCAGATGTTTACTCGATCGGCTCGCGATATATGTCGATGCACTGTGACCAACTTCATGTATCCTGTTTTATTAAGCACAAAACCAAAACTGGTGGTGCAAGCTTGTGTCGTGCAGCGACTACAAATATGTGAGTTGCATCATCGAGATACATGAGATTAGCTTTTAGATGATTATTGTTCATTAATAAAAAGTGTAGCTAACGATGTCGGAAAATATAACTTAAACTAAGATGATAGTATTCAAATATTTACAAGAAGTAGAAAATAACAGATCAAATGTTTTTACATTAATAGGAAGTCAAATGGCATTAGATATAAATAATAATACATATGTTTATCATACAATAAGTGATATTATTTTAAATATTGAAAATGGTTCAATATTAATATTAAAAAAAATGAATAATATATATAGTAGTTTATACGATTTATTTAATCAAAATTTTACACAAATTGAAGATAAATATTATTGTCGTATTGCAATGGGAAATTATTTGAATCCACAATGTCATGTAAATAAATTATTTTATTGTATTATAATTATAGATCATAATGATTTTAAACACGCTGATGTCGCATTTTTAAATCGATTTGAAAAACATATTATTCATCTTGAAAATATTATGGATAATTGCCATTTATCAACTGTTAAAGCCATATTAGTATGGATTGAATCATTTAAAAATATCAATCAACAACATTATTTTACTTATCAACATTTAATTGTTAATTTTAATCAAGATTATTTAGCCTATCTTGTATTAAAAGCATATGAACATTATAACTCAATGAAAGATGTTATTAATTATTGTAAACAAGTATTAATAAGTAATTCTACATTTGGCTTTGCACTTGTTGCTAGTATATCGGAAAATACCGATATTAAGAAAGAATTATTAGAAAAATATTATACCGAAAAACCACATACGTTAGATAGTTTTCGTACAAATGAACATTTAACAAAACAAAATGGTTTGAGAAAAATAGTATTTACCTATACACGATTATCAGAGACACTTATATTTCCAGAAACCTTTCATGGTTTTCTCGAATATAAATTATCAAATTATTGTTCGGAAAATGATCTAAAAAACAGTATTAATTATTAAATTTGTTGGTAGAGCAGTTGGAAATAAGTATTTGTAAATCGAATATAGAACTGCTATGAATAACATGACTTTCAATCTTGAAAATACTTTATTCGAGCTTTCGCCAGCTTTCAGTTGGCATCATC